ACAGTCCATAGGGTTGCACAGAGGTGGACACAGCTGGGTGACGTAGCACGCACACACACAAGAAAGCATGGTGAGCCAGTCAGCAGATCAGACAGTGAAACCATATCCCCACAACTGGAGACAATGGACTCATCAAGTACAGAATACAAATAAGTGCATTTAAAATGTTTTTTTAAAGGAGGAAATTGAAAATAACCAAAGACAAGATATTCCAAAAAGGACCTGCTCTGAGGGGGAAAAAATAGACCTAAAATAATGAAAAGCAAAATATACAGATCTGTTGCATTTCTTTATGCTAACAGTGAAATATTGATATCAGAAAGAGAAATTTTTTAAATGACCTCTTTAAATATTGAATCAAAAAAACAAAATATTGAGGAATAAGACTGACCAGCAGTATGTAAACTGCTTCCAGATGTACTAACTGGATTTAGAAAAGGCCGAGGAACCAAAGATCAAATTGTGAACATATGCTGGACCATAGAAAAAGCATAGGAATTCTTTTAAAAAATCTGCTTCATTGACTACACTAAAGCCTTTGACTCTGAGGATGACAGCAAACTGTGGAGTATTCTTAAAGAGATGGGAATTCCAGACCACCTTACCTGCCTCTTGAGAAACCTGTATGCAGGTCAAGAAGCAACAATTAGAACTGGACATGGAACAACTGACTGGTTCAAAATTGGGACGGGTGTATGTCAAAGTTGTGTATTGTCACCCTGCTTATTTAACTTCTATGCAGAGTACATCATGCAAAATGCTGTGCTGGATAAATCACAAGCTGGAATCAAGATTTCCAGGAGAAATATCAATAACTCAGGTATGCAGATGACACCACTCTAATGTCAGAAATTGAAGAGGAACCTCAGAGCCTCCTGAGGAGGGTAAAAGAGGCGAGTGAAGAAGCTGGCTTAAAGTTCAGCATTAAAACTCAGACCATGGCATCTGGTCCCATCGCTTCATGGCAAATAGACGGGAAACAATGGAAACAGTGACAGATTTTCTTTTCTTGGGCTCCAGAATCACTGCAGGAATTGACTGCCGCCATGAAATGAAAAGATACTTGCTCCTTGGAAGAAAAGCTATGAGAAACCTACACGGTGTATTAAAGGCCCATAGGGTCAAAGTCATGGTTTTTCCAGTAGTTGTGTATTAATATGAGAGTTGGACTACAAAGAAGGTGGAACACGAAAGAATTGATGCTTTCAAGCTGTGGTGTTGGAGAAGACTCTTGAGAGTCCCTTGGATTGCAAGGAGTTAAAACCATCAATACTAAAGGAAATCAACCCTGAATATTCACTGGAAGGGCTGGTTGTAAAGCTGAAGCTCCAATACTTTGGCCACCTGATACAAAGAGCTGACTCATTGGAAAAGGCCCTGTGCTGGGAAAGATGGAAGGCAGTAGGAGAAGGGGGACGACAGGGGATGAGATGGTTGGACGGCATCACTGACTCAATGGACATCACTTTGGACAAACTCCGAGAGATAGTGAAGGACAGGGAAGCCTGGTGTGCTGCAGTCCATAGGGTTGCAGAGAGTCATTCATGACTTAGGGCCTGAACAACAACCACAAAGACTGACCAAGAAGGTGAAAGACTTATATATTGAAAACTATAAAACTCGAATAAAGGAAATTGAAAACTGTTTTAAAAATGGAAAGAAACCACGTGCTCTTGGACTGGAAAAATAATCATTAAGCGACAGTACTGCGGATGCAATGCGACCCGCGTTAGACTGCCCGTGGCACCTCCCACAGAGCTAGAGCGAACAACCCCAAAGTCACGTAGGACCATGGGTGGCCCAGAATCGCCGAGGCAACGCGGGAGAAGAAGAGCAAAGCGTGAGGCATAACCATCCCAGACTTCAGACAATACCACAACGTTACAGTGATCAAAACAGCATGGTAGTGGCACAAAAACAGAACTATAGATCAATGAAACAGAGCAGAGAGTCTAAAAATAAACCCACACATCTATGACCGATTAACCTTCAACAAAGGAGGCAAGAATATACAATAGAGAAAAAACAGTCTCTTCAGCAAGTGGTATTGGGAAAACTGGACAGCTGCATATAAATCAATGAAGTTAGAACACTGCCTCACACTATATACAAGAATAAACTCAAAATGACTTAAAGACTTAATTATGAGGCAGGATGCTATGAAACTCCTAGAAGAGAACATAGGCAAAACATTCTGACATAAATCATTGCAGTGTTTTCTTAGATCAGTCTTCCAACTCAATAGAAATAAAAGCAAAAATAAACAAGTGGGACTTAAGCTTATAAGCTTTTGCACAGTGAATGAAAGCATAAACAAAATGAAAAGACAACCTACGGACTGGGAGAAAATATTTGCAAATGATGAGACTGACATAGGCTTACTTTCCAAAATATACAAATACTTCATGCAACCCAAAAACTGTAAGACAAACAACCCAATAAAAAAATGAGCAGGAGACCTAGACATTTCTGCAAAGAAGACGTACAGATGGTCAACAGACACGTGAAAACACACTCAACATCGCTAATTAGTAAGGAAATGGAAATCAAAAGTACAAAGAGGTATCACTTCACCCTGCTCAGAATGGCCATCATTAAAAAGTCTACAAATGATAAATAGGGAGAGAGTGTGGAGAAAAAGGAGCCCTCCCGCGCTGTTGGTGGGAGTGTAAGCTGGTGCAGCCATGATGGAGAACAGAATGGAGGTTCCTTTAAAAACCAAAATGGAGCTCCCATAGGATCCAGCAACCCCACCCCGGGCATGTACCTGGAGAAAATTCTGATTAGGAAATAAACATTCATCCCAATGTCCATCACAGCACTGTTTGCAGTAACCAGGGCTTGGAAACAGTGTTTGTCCATCACTAGGTGAACGGATAAAGAGGTGGAGCATTCATACAATAGAATGCCACTCATCCTTAGAAAGAGTGAAATAATGCCATTTGTAGCAACATTGATGCACCTAGAGATTATCATACTAAGTGAACTAAGAAAAGACAAATGTCATATGGTATTAATTGTATGTGAAATGTAAAACATGATATAGATGAAGTTATTTACAAAACAGAAACAGACTTATAGACACAGAAGACAAACTTGTGGTTAGCAAAGCAGATGGGGGAAGGTATAAATTAGGAGTTTGGAGCTAAGATCCACACACTACTGTCTGTAAAACAGATAAACAACAAGGGGAATTATGCCCAACATTTTGTAATAACCTATAAAGGAAACGAATATGGGTGTGTAACTGAATCACTGTGCTGTCCATCTGAAACTAACACAACATTGTGAATCAATTACACTTCGATTTTAAAATGAAAGTCAATAGATTCATCAAAAAGCAAAATCAGATACAGATGAAAAGAAATTTCTGGAACGGGGAGGATAAGTCCAAAGAAACTGCCGGGACAGCAGAGGGGTGAGGGGGCAGGTCGTGGAGGGTCCCTGGGATGAGGGGGCAGTGTCACTGTGAGCACAGCCCCGGCAGGACGGTCAGACCCCGGCCACCCAGGCACCGTGGACAGAGGGCCAGCCCCAGCCAGGCAGCTGCGGTGAGCCCAGAAAACACCCAGCCGCTGAGAGTCTGAGACAGGCTGCCCCCCGCAGACCCCACGGACACGGGCTCCTCCCCCGCCTGGGACTCTCAGGATCCAGCACAGGGTGCCCTCAGAAACACAGGGGGAAGAGGCGGTCCAGAAAACAAGCCTGATGGGTCCACGGTCACAGACCCATCAGACGAGCCTGAGGAGTGTGCTTCCGAGGGATGCAGAAAGCAGAGGGGGCCTTGAGAATCAGGAAACATGTGAGGAAAAAGGTCCAGAAGGGAAAACGCAGCACACCGTTTGAACAATAATAAAGGAGGCAGGTAACTATGAACAGGCGACGGGCACCACAGGGCGAGCACCACAGCCAGCAGGCAGGCAGTTTCAGGAGAGGAGACCACCCGCGACCCCGCCAAGACCCGGGAGCAGACCCGTGTGCTAAAGGTGCACCGCGGGCATCAGGCATGGGGCGGGTCCACGGGCATCAGGCCCGGGCAGGGTCCGCGGGCGTCGGGCCTGGGCAGGGTCCCCAGGCGCCCCCCGTTTACTCAGCTGTGGCTTCGTTCCTGGGGTCTGTTTGCAGGCGTGTGTGCTCATCACGTCATTTCCTGTGTTTCGGTGGGTGTGAAATACGTCGTTTCCCAACTGTCCAACCTGAACTGTACTGCAGGTGCCACGGCAGCAGCTGCTCCAAACATGCCCGTCCTGCCTGTGACCCCGCGTCAGGGCGACAAGGGGGGACAGACCCTCCAATCCGGGTTTCCAAGGACGCTGCCGAGCCCCAGTGCGTCCCTGCTTCCTCCCTCGCAGGCTTGAGGCCACAGAAAGTGACACGTCCCACATAGGCTAACCTGTGAGCCTCGGGGTCACCGGAGGCAGGATCTGCTGTTTCTCTCACTCTTAGCTCTGCCGTCTCCATGCACTTAAGAACCCGATCACACCAGGGGTCCGCAGAGGGAGCCCGGAGCCACGCGCCACAGAAGGCAGGATCCTGCCTCAGCCTGGTCTTCCCGGGTCAGACCCGCCTGGTTCTGCTTGAAAGTGGCCATTTCCATGGGCAGGGTGACCTCAGGGAAGACCACGAGCTGGGCCCAGCACTCACCTGGGTGGGCTTCTTCCCCTAGAGGCGAAGACGAGCTGCAGAGATGGGTCCCTGCGTCTGGAGGGCTGACCGCATCCAGTCCCCCGGCTCTGGGCAGGCCTGGAGGCCCCTCCAAAGGTGCCACCCACCGTCCTGGCTTCCTGAGGTTCCCCAGCTCAGACCCTCCAGACAGGTTTGCCTTATGGAGACCAGGCCAAGTCATTCACGGTGCCTTGAAAGGGAGCAGGTGGGTGTTGAGTGTCGTTTCTGGCTCAGGGCAGAGGTGGAACTCCAGGACCCAACAGCAGCAGCAGCCCCCCAGCCCATCCCGAGGAGGGCCCCGCTGTGGCTCACAGATGCATCTCCTTCTCTTTCAGATCACGTTCTACATTCTGGTGAAGGCCATTTACACCCTGGGCTACAGCACCTCTCTGATCTCCCTTACAACAGGAAGCATAATTCTTTGCCTCTTCAGGTAAGTAGCAGAACTGAGTGATTCTGCCAAAAACAGGAGATGGGAAATCTCCCATTTAAGCTGTCTCAGCCCGTGATGGGGGCAGAGACCACTCCCCCGCCCTCCTCTGTGCCGACCCAGCCAGACTCCCTCAGAAGGTACAGTACAATGCCTCAGAAGGTACAGTACAATGCCGACGCTGACGTTTGCATGTCTTATTTGAGGAGACAATGCTGACGGGGGATAAGAATGCAGTTCAAGTGCTGGAATTTTCCAGGCAAGAAAATCAGAGTTGGTAACCATGCCCTTCTCCAGGGCAATGTTCCTGGCCCAGGGGTGGAAGCTGGGTCGCCTGCATTGCAGGCAGAATTTTTTACCAGCTGAGCCTCCAGGGAAGCCCCATGCTGATGTCATGCTTTGAAAACACAGACGCAGCCTGGCCCTCCCCTCCCCGCTCAGAAACGCCCCGGTGGAAGCCTCCCAACTGCACTCTGCTGAGAGACGGTGCCCCGTGTTCAGGAGCACAAGGACAGGTTCAAATCCGGGGCGGTCTCGTAGCGGCTGTGTGCCGCGGAGCAGACTGCCTTCTCTTTGTGCGTCTGTGAAGCGCACAGGCGGACGGAGCCACGTGTAGGAGGCGCTCTGTCAACGCAGCCCGGTCCTCCCCTGCGCCCGGACCCTCGCTGCCTCTGGAGCTAACATCAGACGCTTTACGGCTGGTGGTGGGGTCTGAAGGAGGTATAGACGCTTCCACCTGAGAAAAGCTTTTACTTTTAGGTTAAATCCATGTCTTATTCATCACTAACCTTAGTAAAATGGGTGATATCCAGCTTATTTTAACGGGTTTTGATCACCTGTCAAAAAATAATCTGTAGACAACAGAGAGCTTTATTTGGGGGTTTTCGGAATTGCAACTTGGGAGACACAGATTCAGGTAAAACTGAGAGGGTCCCAGGGAAGAGAAGGAGTCAGAGGCTGGTAAAGGCACAAGCCACGGGTTGTTAAAGACATCTGGCAGGAACTGGGACTGGCCCTGACGCAAAGGGAAATATTGTCCTCAAGGTGCAGACTATGACGAGTTGTTCAGGGTTGGGGTCCTACATGTACCTGAGTTTCGGGACACTGTGCAGACCGCCTGGGCAGCTTCGTTAGGACAGCAGGTGGTCAGAGCTGATTCCATCGGCTGAGACGCGGGCAGCCCACCTTCTCCAGACCTCCAGTCCTGCGTGGTGGGGGGGGGGGGGGGAGACACTCTCTTGGCAAGAGTCCCTCCATTTCCTTTTCCTCCAGACACCGCATATCTTCTTTCTCTTTGCTAAAATGTAGTTCACATGTTGGTCAGTGTTCAGATAACATCAGTGACATAGCAAATGGAGTGTTTTAAAACATTAAGACAGCCATTCTTGGAAGAAAAATGAGTGAGTAAAGGCAGTGGAGTGTGTGGACGAGATCCTAGCAGCTGTGAGGTTGTGCTTCTCTTGGTTCAGGCATGTCAGGTGTGACAGGCGGCTGATAATTCTCAGGAAGAGTGAGGCAGTGCCTTTAATCCAGAACTGCACTTTGAAAAATGTAGGAAAGACCTGTCATTTTATATGATTAAAAAACTCTTTTAAAAACTGATATAATATTATTACTATTTGCTCTGCATCTTCTATATTTTACTGTACATTTTAAAATCTTGAAATTGTTAATACAGGAAAAAAAAACAATTTAAGGAGGTAAGCTTGTTTTTGAAGAGCTCCTATCTCAAGCAGTCCTTATACTTGACATCAGTGTAGGGCTTCCCCAGTAGCTCAGCGTAAAAAATTCTGCCTGCAATGCAGGCGCTCCAGGTTCGATCCCTGGGTCAGGAACATTGCCCTGGAGAAGGGCATGGTTCACTCTGATTCTCTTGCCTGGAGAATTCCATGGACAGAGGAGCCTGGCGGTCTACAGTCCATGGGGTCGCAAAGAGTCCGACACAACTGAGCAACCAACACTGACATCAACAATTTGCCTCCGACTTGTACTTCATGGCCTATTTAACTATTGCAAGCACGGTCGTGGCCCACGAGGAGACTCTCCGGGTTTTATGCATATCAAACACTGTTACCGTTCGTCCCCTGAAGGTGACACTTCTTGGTCACGGGCAGCACGTGCCTCCAGTGGCGGTCACTGCACCACTGGCTCTGCGTGTAACGGCTGCAGGCTGGGCTCCACCTTCCACCTGCTCACGCCACCCCCGGAGAGCTGTGAGACTGAGCTGATTCTAAAATCCACGTTATAAAAACAACACGCCCCATTGTCTTGGTCATTACACCCAAGAAACAGACTTCTTTGCAGTCACCAAATATTTATTCTCCGAAACAGCCCAGAGGCTAAGAAAGGACCGAGCCACCACGACCTTACTTTACAGACAGAGAGGGAGCATCTCGTTTTGTCCAAGGGCGTGCAGACTTGGGTGCCGGCGCAGGGCCTAGCTCTGCGTGGGAGTCGTGGGCGGTCAGTCTATGTGTTCCGGACCACATCCCGGGGTCCAGGCATGTGCTCACGGGCCCGTCCTCACGGGCCCAGGAGTAGCTGTGGTGATTGCTCCAGCCTGTGCTGTGCATTTTCTCAGGATCATGATTAAGAATTTGGTCCTTAGAACACCTCCACCAGGAGAGCGCTCTTGGTCCCAGTTGTAGCAACTAAAGAAGGAGGCCCTGCTGCTGAACGGGGGACGACAGGGTCTGATCCACAACCACATTCACCCCATTCACCTTCAGGAATCAGTTCATGCAGTCATGGGGCGTGTTAAACACACAGAACAAACTTTGTGACTGAGGCCCGGCGGGTCTCTTACACACGTGAAACAGACTTCACTGCTGAGGCCCTGCAGGCATGTTACACATGTGGAACAGACTTCACTGCTGACGCTCTGCGGGCGTGTTACACACACGGAACAGACTTCACTGCTGAGATCCTGCAGGCGTGTTACACACACGGAACAGACTTCACTGCTGACGCCCTGTGGGCGTGTTACACACACGGAACAGACTTCACTGCTGAGGCCCTGCGGGCGTGTTACACACACGGAACAGACTACACTGCTGAGATCCTGTGGGCGTGTTGCACACACGGAACAGACTTCACTGCTGAGGCCCTGCGGGCGTGTTACACACACGGAACAGACTTCACTGCTGAGATCCTGTGGGCGTGTTACACATGTGGAACAGACTTCACTGCTGAGATCCTGCGGGTGTGTTACTCACACGGAACAGACTTCACTGCTGAGGCCCTGCGGGCGTGTTACACATGTGGAACAGACTTCACTGCTGAGACCCTGCGGGCATGTTACACATGTGGAACAGACTTCACTGCTGAGATCCTGCAGGCGTGTTACACACGTGGAACAGACTTCACTGCTGAGACCCTGCGGGTGTGTTACTCACACGGAAGAGACTTCACTGCTGAGGCCCTGCGGGCGTGTTACACACACGGAACAGACTTCACTGCTGAGATCCTGTGGGCGTGTTACACATGTGGAACAGACTTCGCTGCTGAGATCCTGCGGGCGTGTTACACATGTGGAACAGACTTCACTGCTGAGGCCCTGTGGGCGTGCTACACACGTGGAACAGACTTCACTGCTGAGGCCCTGCAGGCGTGTTACACATGTGGAACAGACTTCACTGCTAAGGCCCTGCGGGCGTGTTACACACGTGGAACAGACTTCACTGCTGAGGCCCTGCGGGCGTGTTACACACGTGGAACAGACTTCACTGCTGAGGCCTTGCGGGCGTGTTACACATGTGGAACAGACTTCACTGCTGAGACCCTGCGGGCGTCTTACACATGTGGAACAGACTTCACTGCTGAGACCCTGCGGGCGTGTTACACACGTGGAACAGACTTCACTGCTGAGATCCTGCAGGCGTGTTAAACACGTGGAACAGACTTCACTGCTGAGGCCCTGCGGGCGTGTTACTCACACGGAACAGACTTCACTGCTGAGGCCCTGCGGGTGTGTTACTCACACGGAACAGACTTCACTGCTGAGGCCCTGCGGGTGTGTTACTCACACGGAACAGACTTCACTGCTGAGGCCCTGCGGGCGTGTTACTCACGTGGAACAGACTTCACTGCTGAGGCCCTGCGGGCGTGTTACACACGTGGAACAGACTTCACTGCTGAGGCCCTGCGGGCGTGTTACACACGTGGAACAGACTTCACTCCTGAGGCCCTGCGGGCATGTTACACACGTGGAACAGACTTCACTGCTGAGGCCCTGCGGGCGTGTTACACACGTGTAACAGACTTCATTGCTGAGGCCCTGCGGGCGTGTTACACACGTGGAACAGACTTCACTGCTGAGGCCCTGCGGGCGTGTTACACATGTGGAACAGACTTCACTGCTGAGGCCCTGCGGGCGTGTTACTGACACGGAACAGACTTCACTGCTGAGGCCCTGCGGGCGTGTTACACACGTGGAACAGACTTTACTGCTGAGGCCCTGTGGGCGTGTTACTGACACGGAACAGACTTTACTGCTGAGGCCCTGCGGGCGTGTTACACACACGGAACAGACTTCACTGCTGAGACCCTGCGGGCGTGTTACACACGTGGAACAGACTTCACTGCTGAGGCCCTGCGGGCGTGTTACACACGTGGAACAGACTTCACTGCTGAGGCCCTGCGGGTGTGTTACTCACACGGAACAGACTTCACTGCTGAGGCCCTGCGGGCGTGTTACACACGTGGAACAGACTTCACTGCTGAGGCCCTGCGGGCGTGCTACACAGGTGGAACAGACTTCACTGCTGAGGCCCTGCGGGCGTGTTACTGACACGGAACAGACTTCACCGCTGAGGCCCTGCGGGCGTGTTACACACGTGGAACAGACTTCACCGCTGAGGCCCTGCGGGCGTGTTACACACGTGGAACAGACTTCACTGCTGAGGCCCTGCGGGCGTGTTACACACGTGGAACAGACTTCACTGCTGAGGCCCTGCGGGCGTGTCACACATGTGGAACAGACTTCACTGCTGAGGCCCTGCGGG